AGTTGGAGCTCTGTGGTGAATAAATGACTTGCTGTGTCCTGCTGAGAGGGTAGGAGGATGAATTCCAGAGTCTACAGCCTGGAAGGAGACAGCAAACATTCCTGGAAAGCAGGGTATATTGCCAGAAAGAAAGGGCCCAGAGCTTCCCTTTTTAGGAAAACCACAAACAAATTACAGAAAAGGCACCCCTATTCCTCTTTTAAAATAAACACCAAGGACTCTGAATAAAACATTCTGTAAACCCAAATCAGAATTAAGTTAGTTTAGAGACCTCAATCATTTTCACTGAACCACAAACAAATGTGTTCCTGTACTTGGTTAACCAGTACATCTAGGAACAAAGACTGTATTTCCCAAAACAATTTAACTGAATACACATTTGTTTCAGGTCCCTGCTAAATAATTCAATGTGGAAATTCATATGTGCGCCCTCTTGCCTGGGCAGCTGAATTCCAGGTGCCCATGACCTACTATGGTGTCCATTATGCCATCCCCTCCCCCATCTTTGCCACAGGATTTTACGCAGCTGCTCCTCCAGTGACGCCACCACAATACCAAGCCTGACCCTGGCCCTTACATTTGCTGTTCAGCCCAAATACAGAGATTGGCTATTAACCCTATAAACAGGCCTCTGCCCCTCAGAGGCTGATGACCAGGTAGAAAGCTGAGCTGATGCAGACTGAGATTCAGGAGCATGTTTTGAGTGTCATAGGGACCGGTGCCAGCATCCATGAATAGTCTTGGGTTGAGCACAGGATGGGGAGGGCCTGGAACCTTGAGAGGCAAAATTATTCCTACCCACTGCTGCTAGCCCTACAGATGCTACACTACCCCCTTAGCCAGCCCTTTTCTTAGGCCTGCTTGGAGGAGAGAGAGGCCACCTGTGGGTAGGTGTGCTCCACCCAAACCTACCTCTACCTGGAGTGACCCAGCCCCTGTGCCTAGGTATGTGGATGAGGACTGGTCCACCCAACCCTTACTACAGGGGGACAAACAGAAGCCTTTAGGGGGAGTGGTCATAACCTCCCCCAGACCTCTTACAGGCTGCTTGGCTCCTCACTGTTAGGCTGCCGTTTTTCCACTGGGAGAGCCCCCATTGCTGGGACTCAGGTTGTCCCCAGGCGTTGCCCCTCTCCGGGCCATAATTTCTTTTTGGGTCAGGAAAGGCTGTGAGGGCTTTCTAAGCCTGAGGGCAGGAGCTTGAGGGTACCATCTGGGAAGTGTGAAGGAAGATTAATCTTCAGGACATAGGCCAGGCTGGAGCAGGAGCCCGATGACTTCAGATCCTTGGGAAGATGCAAGGAGGCAGCATCCTGTGACCCCAGAGCCAGTGGCTGAAAACACACTGAGAACACAGTGGGAAGGAAATGAGGTTAAGTGATGACTGCACCCCCACCCCTTTATGAGATGTCTGTGTGCTGGGAGCAGGGGGTGGAGCCACCTGATCAATAAACACCACCCCCACCCCCCACCCCGGGGGGGGGGGCTGTCTGTCTGGGGTCCAGCTGCCACCTGGAGGAGCCACCTCCACAGCTCTCCCTGGGCGAGTAAGGAAGCTGCCCTCCCCAAGGGCTGGGGCTCTTCTTCCGCCTCCCAAGTCCCTCTACCCATGAACCATGCCCAGAAAAGCCCCCTTTTCTCTCCCCAACACTCCTGTGCCTGTTGCCCCTAGTGTGGGAGGGACAAGAGGTAGAGGCACTTGCCCCCGTCACCACCACACATCCGGTCACATCCCGAACTGCTATGGAAGAGAGACGGTAAGCCACAGGAAAAGGGGACGGAGCACCTGCCACTCTGGTCTCCCAGCACCAGGTACCCCAAGTGCCCCCACATTGTTGCCTGTCTCCTAGAGAACTCCCCTCTCCCTGACCATCCATTGGCCTGAAGTCTCTGTTCCCCTCTCCAACTTTCTCCCACTGCTGGAGTCCCCATAGGAAAGGGGTAGGCCAAACCCACTGGTACTGCCCCCCACCCCCAGCTGGCGAGGCTGGGTAGCCTCCATAGCCCAGGGCTCTGGGAGAAGGCTAGTCACCAGGAGCCCTCAGGGCCGGGACCTCTGTATCTGGGATGAGGAGCAGTAGCAGAGAGGGAAGGGCATTATTAGGAGTCACTTAAAGCTGCTCTGAAATGCCAGTTGTCCAAGGGGACCCTGGAGGAAGTGGAAGGGATTATGGAAGAAAGTGTCAGACTCCTTGAGTGCTGTCCACTATCCATGGGAGCAGCCCCGCCATGGCAGCTCCAGGCTAGGCCTCCTGCTGCTGCTGCTGCTGCTGCTACTGCTGACCACCCACCCTGGACCCACAAAGGCTCAGCATGGTCCCACAGCTGGTACCCTGGAGGAAAGTGAGCCGACAGCTCATCCCAGCACCTTCAGCAAGCCCGAAGGTCTCCAGCTGATATTTCTCCCCATATTGACTGGGAGGAAGAAGGTTCTGGCTGGGGCTCTTTCGCCTACCTTGAGCCAGGGATGGGGGTAGTGAGGGCAAACTGCAGCCCCCACTCCCTTCTGAAGAAGGGTTATCTGGGCACTGCAGCAGGCACCCCAGACTAGATTGCCCATAGCCTACCAATCAGTGCCCTGGCTCCCCCTGAGGACTGTGCCCTGGGCAGGCAGGACCACAGGCTGGTGGATCCTCCACAGGAAGCAGCACCTGGTACAGACACTGCTGGTAAGTAGGGTTAGAGGCCCTCAGCATTGGCAACCGGTGAACATCGTGGCTAAGGACTGGGGCTATGTGGGTGGAATAGGGAGAAAGGAGACATCGCTGAGACACCCCTGCTACAACACCCCCAGCTGTTGGCGCCCCTGCTGCACACAGGGTGTCTTCTATCCTTCCTATTCCCAGAATTCTAGACAATTTATGTTAAAGATTAGAAGTCACTAGTAGAGTAGGAAAAAATTGTACTAAAACCCTCCATAAATAAGACAGTGGTTGCTGTGGGGTCCCCCAGGCTTCTTTCTTGTCAAAGGAAGCCAGTGTGTCCCCCTGCCAGTGGAAAGAAGTTGAGAGGTGCAACTTCTGACAGGTACCAGAGCCGCGAGAACCAGGCGGTCACTGACATGGCACTAAGGACGACAGTGATTGCAGAGCTCCCCAAGGCCGTGGCAGAAGACTGGTGTGTGGAGATAGATTATTACTATTTTGCACATTGTATTTTAAAGTGCACCAGGAAAGCGCAATAACTAAAGAAGAGAGGGGTCGATTCCTATAAGGCAAACCTTATCGCCTAATTTGTGTCGGTGTGAGCTCAGGTTTTTACATGTCAGGTTTGTTTAGGGTGGGCAACGCAGCACCGCCAGGGAGCTGGAGGGCTCCCACGCTGGGTCCTCTAGGAGCCGCGGGCGCGTCTGCAGAACGTAGGAGCCTGCAGACCCGCGGGCGGCCGCATCCTGCTGGGCGAGGCCAGATTGGGAAGGGAGGGGGCGGGCTAGACAGCAGCTTGGCGGCTAGGAGACCAGAGCTTCCGCTGGAATGACCATCCCTTCCCCTGCAGACGGCCCCGATTGCCGCACGGGTCCCCGAAGTTGTTGCCTCGAGTTCTCTCCTTCGTCTCCTTCCTCTCCCTTCCACAGAGACCTTTTCTCGCGTGGGGTCTGAAGGGACACGGGGTGGGACCAGGCCCCGCAGGGAGGGGACAGCCAGAGCCCGCAAGCGGGGGGCGGCCGCAGACGTCGGAGGGCTAGGCTCGCGCGCCACCCAAGAGGGTTCCAGGGGACCGGAGGAGAGAAAAGGTGAAAGACCGCGGACTCCACATCCCATGGTGCCCCGCGCCCGCTTCCGGGCCCCCGTGATGCCCTGCGGCGCGCCGGAGTCTGGGCNAACAACGCTCACTTCTTAATCAAATGGGGGAAGTTAAATGTGAGTCTTTATCAGGTCTCTAGAGGGAAGTACATTAAGCCTAAAAGAAATCAGAAATGAAAAGACCTCATAAAAATTCTACTTGCAAAAGTAACAAATAAAAAGCAAAATAAACATTAAAAATATATTTTTGACAAACTCTTTTCTGTATTAAAAGCCTGCACAGCAGCAGTATGGGTAGATTTACGTCTGGAGACTCAGCTCTAGGTCCTCGAAGGCCTGGCATGGTGTACCCCTGGGGACAATGGCTGCTATCTGAGGGGTGACAGATGTTGCCCCCTTTGCTGAGCTGGGGAGAAGCCAAGGGCTGTCCCCATGAAGCAGCAGGACCAAAGGGCAAGAAATACTGGTGGGCTGGGGGAGCAGAAGCAAAAGTCAGAAGGCAAGACAGGAAGCTTAGTGGGCCCCGAGGACCCCACGGGGCGCGTCCTGGGCCCACTCCCCTCGCCTGTGGCGCTGAGGAGGCCCAGCAGGTGTCCAGGAGCTGTGCCCTGACTGCTGAGGGCTTGGAACGTGGTGCCCCCATCACTTGGCACCGTCAGCCTCGCCCTCAGGGAGGAGGCCGCGCTCTTGACGGAGAAATGGGTTCAGGGCAGCCGCGCTGCTGGAAGCTGGGGTCCCGCGTGCAGGAGCCCTGTGAGGGCCCTCCACCGCGCCCAGGGACTCTACCTCGGCCCAAGGGCCACCGCCTCACCCGGCAGACAGGGAGCGCCGTGGTCCCTGCGGGAGAGCAGGACACGGCGGAGGCCACCGCCCAGGAAAGGCTTCCCTGTGTATTCAATCAGTGACTGTAGTTTGGCAACTGAAAGTTGAATGAGAAGTTCCGGGAAGAAGGGGGTGCTGAGGGAGCACACCTGACAGGATAAACAGCTTGTGTGTGCAAAGTTGTGGAGCAGGATCCCAGTGTGTGTGTGTGTGTGTGTGTGTGTGTGTGTGTGTGTGTGTGTGTGTGTGTGTGTGTTTCCCATAGGCTGAGGGCCAGTCTCCGGAGTCTGGTCAGCTATAAGTCAGGGGCAACCAATACACACAGCATCTGTGGCAAGATTGGGTGCAGCATCAACAGTGTCCATTCTAGGGATAGCTTCAAGTGCCGTTAGCCTTGTCCCTCTGCTCAGGGTCTCACTCCAAGGAGGGGTGTCTATGTGGCTNGGGGTCCTGGCGGAGCGCAAGGCGAAGGAGGCTGCCGCTGAGCACCGCGAGCTGATGGCCTGGAACCAGGCGGAGAACCAGCGGCTGCAGGAGCTACGGTGAGCTGGGCGGGGCGGGGCGGGGCCGCCTGGCCCGACCGGGGCAACACAGCCAGCTGAGTCTCTGTCTCTCGCCTCTCCCAGGATAGAGAGGCTGCGGCAGGAGGCGCGGGAGCAGGAGCAGCGGCAGGCCGAGGAGAAAGCCCGCCAGGCCCGAGAGACAGAGGCCTGGGTGAAGCTCAAGCAGCAAGAAGTGCTGCAGCTGCAGGTGAGCCCCATGTCCCCATGTCCGTTGGGTGGGGCTGGAGGCTGGGAGCTTAGCCTGGGCTGTCATCGGAGTCCTGGGGTACTGGCTACATGCGGGGGGTGGCGAGGCAGGACGGGGCTGCCTTGAGTCTTGTGAGAGGGATAACAGGTGAGGATTTGGAAGAGGAGTGAAAGAGTGCCCGGCAGGTGCAAAACCGAGAGGTGAGAGTTGACACTGGAAAGTGTTCAAGTAGCTAGTGGGTGGTAAGCTGGTGTCTGAGGGAGGGGACCATCCACAAGGAGTTTGCATTTTGCCTTCTGGGTGATCAAGTCATTGAAGGGTTAAATATTTGAGCTGGGATTGGCAGGTGTGAGACTTGAAAGCAGGAGTGATCCAATGAGAGTGGATGAAACTTGAATTAAAGTAATAGAGGGAGAAGGAGGTGTTTGAAAGAGATTAAGAGGGACCCAGGTAACATTGAGGGACTGATTCCACCCACCGGGACACTAGGTTGTCACAACTGCTGTGCTTGTCACAACTGCTGAAGTGTCCAGTGGGTGGTTAAGAAAGAGGACTGTGACAAGGCTGCCTAATGTTACTCCCCTGAAAGGTCACTGGGGCACTCAAAGAGGACCCCGGCTCCAAGCATCCTCCCCTAGCTAGAGCTGGAGCCTCTCCCTCAGGGGTCTCATGGCCAAGAGGCTGTGTGGGCAGGCTGGCATGTGCTGGGGGCAACATTCAGCTGGCCTTCTCTCTTTCAATAGGAGGAGGCAAAAAACTTCATCACCCGAGAGAACCTGGAGGCGCGGGTAGAAGAAGCATTGGACTCCCCGAAGAACTACAACTGGGCCGTTACCAGAGAGGGGCTGGTGGTCAGGCCGCAGCACAAGGGCTCCTAAGGGCCCAGTAAGGACAGTGCCGGCCCAGGGACCATGTGTGTATGGAGGTGGGAGGGGTGCGTCTGACCTGGAATAAAGCAGTTGTCGTTTCTTATGAAAAAGGACACTCAACCCATTCCAGTGTGGCTCTCATATTCTGGTCTCTGCACCCACCACCTGCTCAGAAACTCCCACACACAGTGCCCTGTTCTGCCCCCATGTACAACTCTCAGCATAGCACCAGACTCTAGAGGTTTCCATCTCACAGAGGAGCAGACTGGGTCGTAGTCGCCTGGTCATCTGCGTATCATCAAGGGCAATGGTTGGCAAATTATAGTCATGGGCCAAATCTGGCCTATTACCTGTTTCTATAAATAAAGATTTATTGAAACAGAGCCACATCCATTCATTGACTGCTTTCACACTACCATGGCAGAGATGAGTGGTTGCAACAGGGACTTATATGACTTGCAAAGTCTAAAATATTTGTTATATGGCTTTTTACAGAAATTTGCTGACCCCTGATCTAGGGATTTAGGGCTCCAGCCAGGAGCAGCTATCATCTGGTACCTGAGACACAAGCTAACCACTGGCCAAAGACCTGTTTCTGTTTGACATGGGCTTTGCTGGCCAGGATCTGGTGTGCCCAAGACAGAAGGCCATGTAGAGACCCCATTTCTTCAGGTGGCCCTTTCCACTCATGGTCTCAGAGACCTGCATCAGCCCTGACACTGCCAGCTTCCTTGGACCACCCACCAGGTGGGTGCTGGCAGGAGAGGCCTGGTTGAGCCAGACATCACAAGGTCATTGTGGCTTGTCAAGCATTTGGACCAGAAACACTTGTGATTAAAGTTCCCAAGGTTAAATAAGTGAACATACAGATCCATCCATGGCCCTATTCAGGCCCTCAAGCAACATCTGGAATGAGGTTGAAGAAACGTTTCTCTGAGCAGAGCTGCTACCCCTTTGCCACCATTTACTTGAACTTGCCCAGATACCACAAGAGGAAAAAGGACGGAATCCCAGCTTCCTGAACTCGCCCAGGTTGTAGAGGGCCTGGGAACCACCAAGACATGAAAACCTTTTAGGGACGATGGACAATCCCTCACGTTCAGGTGAGGAAGCAGATAATAGAGATACAAGCAGAGGGCCAGTGGTTACCATAGTACCTGGCATCCAGCCCCCATCGGGGCACTGCGCCCCTGAAAACAATGGCCCCCCTCCTCAGGCTGGTAGCAGTTCCTCTTCTTCCCTGGCACTGAACCTGAGCCCAGCACATTGAAGTCCTTGCTTTCAGATGCTCAATGTAACATGGTATGAGAGCTGATGGGCGCACATTGTAGACCATGGATGGGCAACTGTGCCCAAAGCCTTGGGCTATGTTGTGAGGAGTGGACAGACGATCTGATCTGCAGTGGAAGCCTTTGATGAGCTTTCACGTGGGACCCTGGGCCTGTTTAGGAAGTCCAGTTTCTTTCTAAGTCCCTTCCCCTCTGCAGCAGGAACCAGACAAGCCACCTGTCTTCAGGCAGAGGAGACAGCATGATACGTTCTCAAAGTTCTGTCTTTGGGCTGCTTTTCCTTCACTGCCATCTTTTAGTGTCTTGTATGAGGCTGTCACTCCTTGGCATTCACTGCTGATGCCAGTATGTCATGCAGAGCCACCTGTAAACCAAGCTTCAACGTTTTTCTCTACCTACAGCCATCTTGCTGATATGGGCACAAAAATGCAGCTCACTGGTACCTCCCAGGTGAATTCAAGTCCAGTCCCATCTGTACCTGCCTCTAGTGGATGTAGAGTGCTGCTAGGTGCATAGGTATGCTATCAGATCCCACCCAGTTCAGGTGGCAGAGTTAAGGGGTATCTCACGGAAGAAGGCTTAATCTCCAATAGAACCCTGGTAGTTAACCTGATGGGCATGGTCTTGCTCACACCAGGGTTATCTTCTGATTCTTGCCTCAAGTTCCAAATATGATTTGGGCCTGAAACAGATCATGTGAACCTGGACCACCTGGAGAATTTTCTCTTGCTCAAGGTCTCACTTGAGAGTAGCAGATTGGAAGGCTACCCAGTCAGTAAATGCATTTGGAGCATAATACCCAAAAGTAAGTAGTTTCAGCGAGATTTGAAGAGGCCTACCTACTGTCCTGTATGCACAAGGGGGTAGAGCGTAGATTGGCGGATAAGTAAGTGCAATTAGTGTTTCACTGCGGAGAGAGGTATGCTGATCCCCCAAGAACTTTGCTGGGTGAGCAGTTTTTTCCCAGGATTTATCCCCCCAATAAGCATAGATGTTTTACCAAGACACCTAGATTCTTGCCCCTTCCAGTTCTTCAAGATAAGCAGCATGGTGTCAATGACGTAGAACACTGTGATGTCCTGGGAGTGGGTGGTCAAGGTCTTGAGGATGAGGTTGTACAGACCTGTAGAGTTGTTCACCTCTTGGGCTGGGTGTGATGGTACACCGCTGCCAGGTGAAGGCAGACTGCCTGCAACAGTCCAAGTAGACAGGGAAGGAGAAGAATATTTGCCACATGAATGGGTGCTGGCTGGATGCCTCCTTAATCTGTTCCATCATTGAGTCCACACTAGACCTGAGTAAGCCTGAACTGTCCCCATGTTTTTCCAGTATACTCCAAATTTTCTACATGAAATACAAGCACAGGTAGCCAATATTTTCTGAAATCTTTGTAAAAGTTCCCTCTGAACTTACCCTGTGTCAGGTTATTTCCCTGACACAAGCACAGAGGTGAAATGGATACCAGGAAACAAGCCCAGTTGACTGCTGAAATAAAGGCATTTCGGGCAAGAAGAATCGAGCTCGAGCTCTTTCCTTCCCAAATAGGAAGTCAAAAGCAATGTTTGCAACCCCAAAATCCTGAGAAAGGCAGGCCTACTGATGATGCACCCATTTCTCTTGTTGGGTGCTTTAATGAATATTTCCTCAGTACAGGTAAGTGCATAAATCATAAAGGTAGAGCTTAACTAATTATTTGAAAGTGAACATCCATGTGGAGAAACAACACTGGGTCAAATTCATAGTTAGGTTTACAAGGTCTTGAGGTCAAGAACCTGTAAGGAAGGATCCCAGTATACTGCCACAAAAGGCAGTAAAGTGATATGAAATTCAGAGCTGCATAAGCCCACCCTCACCAGGCGAGGAGACAAGTTCTGTGTATCACAGATATCCAGCAATCTTCCCCAAGTGTGTGGGCATTTCCCCTTGCCGAGGGTAAAAACGCAGGTAAGTAATTAAAATTCTCTCTGGGAAGTTGTGCTATACTTCACACTCTTTTTTTGTTTGTTTCTTTTATTGGATTGCTGGAAAAGTCATGACGCATTTTTGCAACGAAAAACAGAAAAAAATACAGCATGACTTTTCCGACAACCCAATAAATCGTAGCTACTGAGGGAGAGAGATGGTCTGGGGGTGGGATTTTTGTGCCTGGGAAATTCATAACTGAGGTATAAACATCAACCATGGCACCTTTGCCTGTCCCTGCCAGACCTGCCATTGCTGCTGTTGGAGCTGCAGGGCCCCTGCAGAACCCAGGAGCCACAGTCATCTCCACTGCGACCATGCAGCTGCCAGAGGTGTCCCAGAAGCTGAGGGAACCATGGATTCACCCTTTCTCTGAGCTTAACAACAGATCTTTTGCCAGTGATTCCTAAGTTATTGTAATGGAAGCCAGCTGGCAAGGAAGTCTGGGAAATACGGTGTGTAGGCCTCCAGACTGCCGTGGAGCTNCTTGCTCCCTCCATAGCCCTCCCAGAAATAATTAAAATAAAATAAAGCAGATTCCTCCTTCCAACTCGACTCGCGTCTCCGTGTCTGCACTGGGAGGGAGGACACTAGGGGTGAAAGAGCGCACGTTTGGGCTTGTGTCTCCTGCTCTCCGCGTCTCAGAGCGGGTGTCCCACCAGGGGAGCGAAGCGGAGTCAGGCCTGCTGCCCCAGGGGCCGGAGGACGCGCTGTTCCCGCTCACCGTCCAGGGGTGTGTGGAAGAAGGAGGGGGCCGGCTCCGAGGGAGATAGAAGCAGCCCCCAGCTTCCGGCTCCCAACGGAGCTGGGGGCCTCCAGCGGGCTGGACTTGAGAGAAACTTTCAAAGGTCTAACCGGCGGGCTGTGGTGCGGTCGGCAGGGAAAGGGACCTAACAGGCGACATGAGGAAAGGGATGAGGTCGGTGGATGACTTCCTGACGTCTGGAAGGAGGCTTGAGCCGTTGAGCCACACCTGAGGGCTGGGAGCGAGGATACTGCCCTGCTTCGCAGCTGAAGGGCCTTCATGTTCCCAAAGAGCAGGGACTCTCAGGCCACAGGAGGTCCCTGGTACCCAGAAGAGGTGGCCAAGCGGGGGACCCTGCAGGACCGGTTCCTGAGAACTCAGGGCCACAGACAGAAATTACCCCAAATGCAAAGGATGCCAACATAGAGAGTCCCTCAACCTACCTCTCGCCTTAACCCTTTTGGGAATCAATAAAAGCCTAAACCTTATCTCCCAAAACACATCCCATTCACTGACCCACGCTGTGGGGCCAGCAATTCCAGAAGGTTTATGCCTAGGGTTCCACTTCAAATAAAACAGGAGCACATCACTCTCTGTTAGTGATTTAAAAATGTTATTTCTATGGTCTTCACACACTGGAGGACTGCAGAGCTCCACATCCCAAACCCAACAGTATGCGGGTATCACAAACAGAGTGGGGAGAGAAAAAAATATGCTAAAGAGGACTATAAGAATTTTTTTTTACATAAATTACAAAAATAGACAAAGCTAAGCTATGATGCTAAAGGTCTTGGGCGAGGTAGTGACAGAAAGTGGTGTAAGGGGGCTGCTGGGATGTTGGTCATATTCTGTTTCTTGGCCTGGGAGCTGCTAGAACAGATGTGTTCAATTTACGAAAATTTATCAAACTGCATACATGTGATTTGTTCACTTTTGTACGTATATTACAAAACTTCTATATAAAAAACTTGAATAAAAGGTTGGTTTTCTTTTAAGATTTTATTGGGGAATTGGGGGAGAGGAACAGCATTGGGGAATNCCACCATCAGTTCTACAGCCACAAGCAAATGAATCCTGCTAACATTCTCCCAGGCTCCAGAAGGAATGCAGCCTGGCTGACATCT